GATAACTGCGGTGCCACCTGTCTGCTTATAAAAAGAAATATTTCAGAGTTATGTGCAGTGCTCAGTATATCCTGGCTCCACTAGCTACTATGTTCCCTTATAAAGGCATAACTAGCAAGCCACATGGAGAAAACTGTTTAGTGGCTGCACAAATTCAGATTGTTGCTGTTAGGACAGGGAATGAGGACTCAGAATTAAGTGTGCTATTTATTTATAAAAAATCCACGTTGCATTAGCACTTTCATGATGGCAGTTCCAGCTTTTTGTACATGTGATCTTTGATAATAGGTGCATGGAAAACACAAACCTGTTGCCAGGAAAAAAATGAATAATCTATAGGATCTTAGTGTTTCTGAACCATGGACTGTATATAGTGCAAATCTCTTTTAAAAACCTTGTGGGAGTAACTCCCAGATGGTTCCTCACTTTGTTGCACATGAAAGAAGCACATGCATAATTAACTTATGATGATGCAAGAACAGCCATGCTGGATCAGACCAATGGTCCATCTGTCCCATCATCCAGTTCCACATAGGGGGACCAACAAGCTGTCCCCAGAAGGCTACAAGGAGGACATAGAGGCCAAAGTCTCTTCCTGTCACTGCCAATCCTAGCACTGGTTTTCAGAGATTACTGCCTCTGGGCTTCCATTTAGATACCATTATTAAGCAACACTTTATGCATCAGTTCTCCATGCTTTTGTCTAATCGTTTTTAAAGCCAACTGAACTAGTGCTTATGACTTCATCCAGTGCCACTGAATTTCACAAAGTAATTAGTATTAGTCTTTGAGTGAAGAAATACTGCCTTTTCTCTGTCTTGAATCTACTGCCCATTAACTTCACTGTATTCCTGCAAATTCCATTATTCGGTGAGAAGGAGAAAAAGCTTTTTGCACTTTCTACACTGTGCATAATTTTATAACCCTGTGTACAGGTCCCAATTTAATCATCTTTCCTGTAACCTAAAGAACTGCACATTTCCTAGCCTTCCTTGTTAGGGAAGGTGCTCCAACTCTTGCTCATTTTGGGTTCCCTTTCTTCCACCTTTTCTAGTGCTACCTTATCCTTTTTGAGATACAGTGACCACTGTTGCAAATAATTCCAAGCTGTGTACCAGATCTATAGAAGGGCATTACAATACTGATAATTTCCCCTTCCTAATAATCCCTGCCCTGATAATTGCCCTTTTCACCACTACCACATATTGAGTTAACATTTTCATTGACATCACAGTCTCCTTCCTGATTAGTCACCAAAAAATTCAGACCCCATGTGCATCTACTGGAAGACAGGATTGGCCTGATGTGCCTCAGTTTACCCTTTATAGTGAACCTCATTGGCCACCCTGTTGCCCACTTATCTGTTTGGAGGCTCATCATCTGTGAAGTAGGCTATTTGGCTCTACTCCCCCCAAATTCCAGATCACTAATGAAGAAATAATACACCACCAATTCTCATTACTTACTTCCTGCCAGTTTGGTGTAGTGGTTAAGTGTACAGACTCTAATCTGGGAGAACCGGGTTTGATTCCCCACTCCTCCACTTGCACCTGCTGATGTGACCTTGGGTCAGTCACAAGCTCTGGCACAGCTTTTCCTGAAAGAGCAGAGTTCTCTCAACCCCATCCACCTCACTGGGTGTCTGTTGTGGGGAGGGGAAGGGAAAGGAGTTTGTAAGCCGCTCTGAGACTCCAAGTGAAGGGCGGGGTATAAATCCAATCTCTTCTCTTCTTGTCACAACTGTCCATTTACTCCTACTCTGTTTTCTGCTATATTCATGAACAGAGCCATCATCTTAGCCTTGGACTGCTATGCTAACACAGGTGCCTTTTGGTGAGGGACTGTCAAAAGCTTTTTGTAAATCCAAGTGTTTTATGTCTGTTACCCCTGTCCATGTGTGCTCCTTAACCCACTCAAAGAACTGCAAAAGACTGGTATGACAGGATTCCCTTTTAAAGAGCCATCCTGACTCTTCTTTGGTAGGTGTCAAAGCTTTCTCTTTTATTCAGCCTATAAAAGTTCCAGGTATACCAACTTAATATCAGCATCTATCTGCTGCTGCTATTCATATGATGGCAAAGACCCAGCTCATTACACTAGAAAACAATAGAAACCAGCTGTATACTGGAAAGAACTCTGCTTCCAGCTAGCTTGGGGCTATCAATAGCTTAAGAGAGCTCATATTTTATTGTTAAGGATTTAACTAACAATGAACACTGCAACAGAAAACATTTTATGCAGCATATATTGTGTTCAGCAAAAAGAACTTAACACACCGCACTTGCCAGCTTTGATAAAGACAGGCCTTTTCCAATGTATAAATTGTACAGAAAGGATCTTTATTTGTTTTTAAACTTTAAAAAAGGAATCAATGAGAAGGATACAGATATGAGGGCAAAGAGAACTAAAGGAGGGTCTGTAACATCTATGAAAGATCACAAAGAGTACAAGTTTACAGAATAGACACATGATATCCCACGAAAGCCTTCACTGGTCTCTGTTCCAGGCTGTCATGACAACATAAATGGTTCTGAAAACAAGGCCAGCTGCTCAAACTGGATAAATACTGTTAGTGTTAAAGCAAGTTTCTCTACCTCCACTAGCACCATCTTGCTTCTGACAAATCTGGCTGAGGGTCTCAGCTCTGCAGAGCTTAAGTGATTCTCAGTTTGTTTAAGCAGGTGGTGAGTGCACCACTGTAGGAGGGGAAGACAGAAAGAATGGTTTTACTGATAAAGACATCTGCTGCTTAGGTCCTGCTTCATTTAGAATTCCCCAAGGAGCTTAGTTGACTTCCAGCCTATTAGAATGGCAGGAACAACAATTAGTGACAAGGAACTGAGTCACAAGTTCCTCATATACATCTGAGACAAAGGGAATGTTGGGGCAAAAAAAAAAAATCACATCATGGTTCCAGTTCACAGTTCTCTTTAGCCAGTGGTTTGTTAACTGTGTCCAAACCAGAGAAGGCAGGAGGTCCTCAGTGAAAAGAACAGTAATAGCAAATTAACAAGCCATGTTTTTCAGAAAACAGACCAGTTACTGGTTCTTCTCTGCAACAGGAAGCCATACAAGGCAGTGTGTGTGTATCCTACATGCCACAGAAGAACCCTCTGCTAACTTACAGGGGTTTCATGGCAGACCTCTACCTACAGGCTGTTTCCTGATGGTAGAAAGTTTGAAAACTACTTTAAGCCACTTTGAGAAGAGCCACTAAGTCTCCAGAATCTGCTGAATTTCTTTTGTCAGAACTCTGTGGGGGAAATTGACAGCATTTTCAGAGAGAACCAGCTGTTAATTATTAGACCTGAGCTTATATTTTGCCACCCAGAATGATGGATTCAATCCTGGATCAGAGCAGGAAACCAAGAAGCTTCATTACCCTGACTGCTTCAAAAACCAAGGGAGTCCCATGGCACCTTAAAGACTATCAAGTTTATTTGTAGTATAACTACAATGTGTGACTACGTCAACCACAGAACGCAAACTGCTACAGCAGTGTCTCCTTCACAGGAATCTTAATGGTCAATGTGATGCAACAGAAGCCAATATTGGCCTTAAAACTCAGATGCCTGATTAGGTAGGTATATAGAAAATTCAAGAGATAGCATTAAAGACACTGTACCCCCCACCCCCACCTACGCTCACATATCCAGCCTGCCATGTGACTTCAGGGATATGGTCTGGCTAAGATTTTTACCAAATAAGG